CTTAGAAGATGAAAGTTATTTAGGAATTTAGAAATTAATGAATGTGACAAATAAAGGATAATATTAAATGATAAATTAGATGTTAATAATACACTTCCAAATTTATTACAGTTACAAATTTCTCCTTATATAAAATTATAATACATATACGTAATAATCCTAATAATCGTTATAATAATATTTTGTCACCTGATGAAGCTACTGGACAGCAAAACAGCTACAGAGAATTATTTATTGAAATTACTGAAAGAGGCCCAATTCAACAGTTAAATTATTATTTTTATTAAAAAAAAAGAACTATTCTTTTCATCGTATACATTTAGAGTGAATTCAAACACATTTATACTTTTTCTGAAATTTAAGTTACTGTAGATAATAAACTTTCGTTTGGATTTCGTAAAGAAGAAGTTTAATTTTTTAGCACCTTTTCTTCATGTATGCCATAGACAAGACCCGGAATTGAATCAGTGTTTTATAGCGGCAGGTGAAGAAATAAGACCTTACTTAGTAAAGGGTAGGAGACTAGATTAATATAGTGAAAATATTTTAGACAGTAACATTTCAAATTGTACATTTTCACTGATAAAGGTGTTCCTGAGTACAATATTCCTAGCTTAGAGCCGTTAATTATGGACCAGTTAATATCAGAAGACTTATCTGGGATACATATTGAAGCCAAAGACGTCAAGGCGTGGGGTTGCAGCAAATACTTTGTAAGGAATAATAGGTAAACGAAGACAGTTTATGATTTAAGAAATAAATTTCCCAAGAATTCAAATTATTTTTCTTTACTGAAATTGNATTTCTTCGTTCAAGTACTTATTTTAAATAACTTACCCCAGATAAAAATGTTCAGTCTCTCAATGTCTCTGAAAGCGAGACTCGAGTCTCGATCTCTCATCGAGTCTCTCTGGTGTCTATGAGAGAGACTGTTAAAAAAAATGTTTAGCGTCTCTGAACGAGAGACTCGAGTCGCTCATAGAGAAATCCTCATTTCGTATCTAGTCTTTCCACGAGAGACTCGAATCTCTCAATAAGTGGTGTCTCGATAGACATGGTTAAAATTTTCTAAGTTCAACATATTTCAGAGATCCCAGTCTTTCTACGAGAGACTCGAGTCTCTCAATTTTTCAGTTTTATT